TCCGACAAGCCCCAGGAAGTGCCCAGGAGGCCCCAAGAGGCCCCAAGAGGCGCCCAAGACGCGCCAAAGAGGCCTCCAAGAGGCCCAAAAGATGCCCCACGAAGCCCCAGGAGGCCCCCAAGAGGCGCCGAAACCCGTCCAAGAAGCCCCCGAGAGGCTCCCCACAACACCCCAACACATATACAAGAGGCCTCAGACCCACAACCCACACACTGTGGCGGGATGCGCCGAAGGCCATTCGGATCCGCCGCCCCCTTTTGATGTATCAAAGGGGTGCTTGGCGTGTCGGACGACTTGGCTTTTGGTTTTGGTTCTTTTTCCAAAAGAACTCCCCCTGGGGTTTCGGCCCGTCCCGCCGGCCACCTGGAAGACCCGGTTGCCAATGGTTTTCCTGCCCCAGACGGCCCCAAGATGGCCTCCAAAACGGCCAAGATGCCTCCAAGACTGCCAAGACGGCCTCCAAGACGGCTCAGATGGCCCCAAGATGCCTCCAACACGGCCCAGGATGTACCTAGACGGCCTAAGATAGCCTGAAGACGGCCCAACCACGAGGCCCCCAAGAGGCCTCCAAGACAACCCAAGAGTCCAAGAGGCCTCCAAGAGGTCCTCCAGGAAGGCCCGCAAATGTCAAAATTATTGATTTTCTGTGGGTATTTGAAGGCGTTGGGCACGTGCGCCTTTTCGGCTATCCCACGGCCCCAGACGGCCCCAGACACCCCCAATATCGCCCCAATATCGCCCAAGAGGCCTCCAAGATGGCCCCGTGACAGCCCAAGAGGCCCCCAACACGGCCCCAAGAGGGCACCAAGACGGCCCAGGAGGCTTCCAGGACGCCCAAGATGGCCTCCAAGACGGCCAGAGATGGCCTACAAGATGCCTCTACGACGGCCAAGATGTCCTCGAGAGTTCGCATGCGTTGAACACCCCCGTGCAGTCCCTGCACGAATCAACGACTTGAAACCCAGGCCCGCCCGCGGGCGATTGCCCCTGACCCTGGCGGTCGAGGGCAACCAACGTTTCTGTTTGCACGGTGGGCGGGACAACCCGCGCAGAGTAGCTGAGTCGGCAGAAACCAGCGCATTGTCGCAGCAAGATGGCCCCAAGATGCCTCCAAGGCCCAATATGCACCCAAGACAGACCTAGATGGACCCAAAAGGCCCCCTAGAGGCCTCCAAGATGGCCCAAGAGGCCTCCAAGAGGTCCTCCAGGAAGGCCCGAGGAGGTCCAAATTGAATGATTTTGGCATTCGGACGGCCCAAGACGGCCCAAGAGGCCTCCGAGGTCGCCCGAAGATCGCCCAAGAGGCTTCCAAAATGGCCCCATGACGGCCCCAGAGGGCCCCAAGACGGCCCCACGATGCCCCCAAGACGGCCCAGGAGGCCTTTAAGACGCCCAAGATGGCCTCGAAGACGGCCCTGGAGCACCCCAAGAGGGCCCCAAGTCGGCCCAGAGAGGCCCCCCAAACGACTTCCGACGGCGTCAGACGGGCCAAGAGCTCACCAAGACGGCCGAAGATGGCCCTAAGATGGCCCAAGACGGCCCAAGAGGCCTCCAAGAGGGCCTCCAGAAGGCCCGAAAAGGCACAATTTATTGATTTCCAACGAATGTTTGAAGGATTGTGGCATTTGCTTGTTACGGCCTTCCGACGACCCGAGACGGCACAAGAGCCCCCAAAGATCGCCCAAGACGGCCCCAAGAGGCACCCAAGACGGCCCAAGAGGCCTCCAAGACGCTCAAGATGGCCTCGAAGTCGGCCCAAGAGCCCTCCAAGACGGCCTCCAAGAAGGCCCGAAAGGTCAACATGGCCTCCAGACGGCCAAGAGGACCTTCAAGATGCCAACGTGGTCCCCAAGGCTTTCCAAACCGACTCGGGGAACACATGGTCCGATAGCTTGGCAGATCTGGCCTCAACGTTCGGCCATATCGGCGCTTCCAAAAAGGCAGGGGGCGGCGGTGATTCGCCGTAGGCGTCTTCGATCCGCCGCCCTCTGTGCTTGTCACAGGACTGCCCGGCGTGCTGGATCCTTTCGGATTTGGTTTTGGTTCTTTCCCAAAAGGACTCTCCCCTGGTGGTTCGGCCTGTCCCGCCGGCCTCCCGGAAGAGCGCCCAAAGCCGCACAAAGCCTGGAAACGAGCTCAGCGTCCACAAACAAATTCTCGGGTCAATGCCTTTCCCGCTCCAGGATGGCCCTCGATGGCAGATGGCCCGAGGTGGTTTCCAAGTTCGCCCAAATGGCCTCCCCGACGGCCCAAGAGGGTCCAAGATGCATCCAAGTCCCAAGATGGCCCCAGAGTACGGCCCAAGAGGGTCCCGAGACCGCCCCAGGAGGGCCCTCAGACGGCCCAAGAGGCCTCCAAGACGCCCAAGATGGCCTCCCAGACGGCCCTGGAGCACCCCAAGAAGGCCCCCAGGCGGCCCAGAGAGGCCCCGAGACAACTTCCGACGGCGTCAGACAGGCCAGGAGCCCACGAAGACAGCCCACGATGGCTCTAAGATGGCCCAAGACGGCCCAAGAGGCCCCCAAGAGGGCTGCAAGACGGCCCAAGAGGCCTCCAAGAGGGCCTCCAGGAGGGCCCGAAGAAGTCAAAATCATACATGTTTCCTAGGTGTTTGAAGAATTTGGGCGTTTGCTTTTTTACTCTTTTCCGACGGCCCGAGACTGCCCAAGAGCCCCGAAAGATCGCCCGACAGGCCTCCAGGATGGCCCCAGAACGGCCCAAGAGGCCCCCAAGACGGCCCCAAGAGGGCCCTAACACGCCCCAGGGGCCTCCAAGACGCCCAAGATGGCCTCCCAGACGGCCCTGGAGCACCCCAAGAGGGTTCCAAGTCGGCCCAGAGAGGCCCCAAGACAGCTTCCGACCGTGTCCGACGGGCCAGGAGCCCACCAAGACGGCCCAACATGGCTCTAAGATGGTCCAAGACGGCCCAAGAGGCCCAAGAGATCTCCAAGACGGCCCAAGAGGCATCCAAGAGGGCCTCCAGGAAGGCCCGAAGAGCTCAAAATCATTGATGTTCCTTTGGTTGTTGAAGGGTTTGGGGGTTTGCTTCTTTTCGGCCTTCCGACGGCCCGAGACGGCCCAAGAGCCCCGCCAAATCGTCCAAGAGCCCTCCAGGATGGCCCCAGAACGGCCCAAGAGGCCCCCAAGACGGCCCCTAAGAGGGCCCTAACACGGCCCAAGAGGCCTCCAGGACGCCCAAGGTGGCCTCCAAGACGGCCCTGGAGCACCCTGAGAGGGCCCCAAGGCGGCACAGAGAGGCCCCCAAGACGGCGTCCGACGGCGTCAGACGGGCCAGGAGCCCACAAAGACAGCCAAAGAGGCCCCCGAGAAGCCCCCAAAGGCCCCCAAGAGGCCCAAGGAGGCCCCCAAGATGCCTCCGAGAGGCTTCCAGGAAGCTCCCAGGAGGCCCTAAGAGTGTCCCAAGAGGCTCCCAAGATGCCCCTCCTCCTCCTACTCCTCCTCCACCTCCTCCTCCGCCTCCTTCTGATCTTCCCCGCCATCCTCCCGCAATTGTTCCCCGAAGGGTTTCCACAACGATTGGAAGAACACATGGTCCGATAGCTTAACAGAGCTCTTGCCACAACACTCGGCCACATGGGCGGTCCTAGAAGGCATGGGGGCGGCGGTGATTCGCCGTAGCCGTCTTCGATAACGCCAACGTCTCGATATGCGCTGATGATTCTCACCCGCCCCCACATGATGTTCCCCGATGCGCCAAGGCAGCGCCGAGACGAACCGACGCGACTCTGATAAATCTCTGCATGATAGAGAGGGAGCCGGCGGCAGGGGGCGAAGCCCTTGCGGATGTATGTTTATGTGTATACCTCTGGTATGTACATATTTCTATATACGTGTGTGTGTGTGTATAGGTTGCTCTCTAGTTCTCTGTCTCTCTCTCTCTCTCTCTCTGGCACTCCCCCATTTTCTTTCGCGCTCTCTCTCTCTCCCTCCCCAGTCTCAGCTCGAGGGTCCCTGACCCAGTGCGCAGCCTCGACGCCAAGCGACGCGCAACCGATTCTAGCCTCGCGGGACCGGACGGCGCATCCCACGCAGTGACAAATTGGGGGTAAAATCCTTTCAGTTTCGCGCGCACGCCATGGTTCCGAAAGACCTTCGCCGTGCGCCCCCTGCACCACGGCAGCCCAAGCCACCAGGTACGGATCGCCAAAAGGCGACCATCACGTATCGACCGGATACCAACCTCAGTCGGAAGGAAACCTGCGTCGCCGCCATCCAGAGCAGTGGTGGCGTCGATCGAGCAGTCGGAGCATACGACGAGCCCGCTCAGAAGCATTACGCTGATCTTAGTACCACTTCCCAAAAGCACCGCTCCGACCGACGCAGGGTCAGGGGCGAGCTAATGAGATTGTGCGGGACAGCAGGATCAGCTACACCATGTTGCACGACCCCATCGTGCACAACAAGGCCTTGGGACTTGACCCACCACTGGAAGTAATCGCGGTCGACGCCGATGCCCACGAGGGTAAAGCCATTACCATGATTCGCGCACTGTTGACACCTGCACCGTGACTCGCTCTCCCTGGGCCGCTCCAGGCGACACCCCAAGACCACGGCGTCGCCGTCGTCGTCGTCGTCGTCGTTCCCTCCCTCCCACCCCCCCTCCCTCCCCCCCTCCCTCGTCGTCGTCGTCGTCGTCGTCGTCGTCGCCTTTCATTTCCCATGGTCGCCGGGGTGCGCATGCCAAAGCGTGCTACAAGCCAGCACCCCCTTCTCCCTTACGAGGGCGCAGACGGGCCACATAGCGCCCTGATAACCGCTGCCAGCCCTTTCTTCCAGTCCCCGTGACCGCGCCAGAGGGGAAGTAAACCCTGACACGCGGCCAGAAGTGTTGCGATCTCTCTCTTCTTTTTTTTTTTCTCTCTCTCTCTCTCTCTCTCTCTCCCTCTCTCTGCTGTTGCCGCAAGGCCACGTGACACCGCCCGTCTCTCTCCATGTCGGTGCCGACACGCTGCGCATTTCGCCGCACCAGGGCAGGTCTCCATTATGTAGCCCTTGCCGCCGAACTCGCGGGCCTCGCGCGGCTCGCTGGCGATGAGCACCTCTCCCGACTTGGCCCCGCCTGAGGGTAGAATGGAGGAATCAGAAATCGATTTAAACAGCAAACAACACATGCCAGAGCTCCGCGCAGATGTTGCGCCGGGCACCCCTGGCGGCGCCTCCGGCGCGCCGCTCGTGGAGCGCTCCACGCGACAGGGAGGGGAGCCCAGTGCCGATACGAGAAGTCCGCGCGGAGCTCCGAAGTCTTGTGTTCAAGCTGGTTGAAATTCTCTGGCTGAACGCATGTTAGCCAGCGTGGACCCCAAGCAGTGAGGTGTTGCACGGCGGAGGTGGAAGCTATGTGACCAGCTATGTGTTCTGATCTAGGTGGTGTAAGATATGTTATGCGAGCTAGGTGATGCAAGCTATGATGTGTAAGTGATGTGCTGTGAGCTATGGGGTGAGAGCTATGCGGTGCAAGCCATGCGGTGTAACCAGTATTGTAAACGCTGAGCGATGTAAGCTACGTGACGTACCTTACGCAATGGGAGTTATGTGGCGTAAGCCATGGTGTGCAGGCTATGTTGTGTCAGCTGCGTGGTGCAAGCTGTGGGGTGCGAGCTGTGCGGTGCAAGCTACGTGGCGTAGCATATGTGATGCGAGCTGTGTGGTGCATGCTATGCGGAATAGGCTGTCGTGTAAGCTATGACCAGGAGAGCAAGGAAGATGTGCCCAAGGATGAGCACAATTACCCTGCGCGTCGCGCATCCTTGGGGCCGCGGCCCCTGGAATGTAAGGATGGCAACACCGGACCGGAGGATGGCCAGTGTGGCATGAGCTGTGATGTGCAGTGTATGCCGTGCAAGCTAATTATGCGGTGTAAGCTACGCGGAGCGCCCACGGGCGGACACCGAGCGAACCCTCGGCGGACCCCCCCACGGCACGGACCGCCCTAAAGAGCGCCCACGGGGCGAAACCTCGGGGCGCCCACGAGCGGGCACGGGGCGCTCACGGGGCGAAACCTCGGCGGACCCCCCCCGGCGCACGGGGCGCCCACGAGGCGCCCACGAGCGGGCACGGGCGCCGCTGCGGAAGATCACCTGCGGACCCATCCAGTTCCTCGGGCAACAAAAGCAGGAACCCCTGGGTGCAAGAGCTGCTTGGGGGCAAGGTGGAGGAGGAGGAGGAGGAGGAGGAGGAGGAGGAGGAGGAGGAGGAGAAGTAGCGGTCTCTTACGCACGACGATGTGCCGACCTTCTGCCCGCCCCCCGCGAGGGCCCGCGCACGCCACCAGAGCGGCACATCTCGTGGACGACAGAGCTGTGTTGGCGGGCCCGCGGCTCGGCCAGAAAAGCCTCCGGTCGCGATTTTGGTTTCCCGACGCGAAGGGCTCTGGGCTCTGGGAGCTTCCCGCCGTCAGCCCTCCGCCGGCCCTCCGCCAGCCTTCCGCGGGCTCTGCGTTGGCTCCCGCCAGAAGAGAGAAGCCGACGATTCTAGCCTTCGGCGGCGAGGCCCTTCTGGGAGGGTCCCGCCTGGCCCGTACTTGATCACGTTGCCGCCCTGGTCAGGAACATGGAAAGGCGACACCACCACCAAAGCTCAAGGAGCCAAGGGGGGTGTCCTCCGGGTGGTGCGCTCGAGACATCCCCTGCCACCAGCTCGGAGAGGCCTTCGTGGACCTCGCTGGAGGTGGCCCCCCCTTGTGGTGGTGGTGCCGCCTTTCTTCCCTCCGACCTGGTGGATGATGGTGCCGTGCGCCGTCGGGGTGAAGAAGGCGGGGATGCCGGCGCCGCCCGCCCGGAGCCTCTCCGCGAGCGTGCCCTGCGGCGTGAGCTCGACCTCCAGCTCCCCGCCGAGGTACTGCTGCTCGAACAGCTTATTCTCGCCGACCTCTGCTGGCGGCGCGCAGGAAGGGTGCTGGCGCGGAGGAGCCTAACCCTAGAGACTGTCCAGGGACCCACCCCGCCGCGCCCGACCCGTGACCCACCTGGCGACCCCCCAGGCCCCACCCGTGGCATACACCCTCGACCCACACCCACGACGCACATAAATTGCTCTACAACGACGCCGATGGATACCTCCACACCCACCCTACCCCACCCAACAACAAAAAAATGCCTGCGGCGGGGAGGCCGTGAGCGTGACAAAAAATTGGCGCCTGCGGCGGGCTGGCTCCTTGCGAATAGCCCCGCAGCCCAGCAGCACTCACTCCTGTCGCTGCTGCCGCCGACCTTGCCGCCGCCACTGCCCAGCCAGGTCACTGCAGTTCGCGTCTTCGCGCCCTCGCGCAGCCCCGTCGAGCAGAAGGACGACTCGCCAGCCCAGGCCGCGACGGACTTCGCGTCCCTGCGGGTGATCCAGCTTGACCCGGGCAGGACACCCCCCGAGCCTCGGAGGCCCGAGGCAGTCTTCGAAGAGAGCCCACTATCCGCCTCGGCAAGGAGCTCTTGCTCTCAGCGTGCGTGTCGCGGCTGCGGCCCCGGCGAAACGCTGTACCCTGCGAGCTGATGGCGTGTCGCTCCGGTCCGCGGGACCAGGAGACTCGGAAAGGCACATGGCGTTGACGCTCGGGGACCCAGAAAAAGGCTTGCGCGTCGCGCCGAAGCGCGGTGGGCCAGAGCTGGCGGCGCAACACGCTGGCCAAAAGTTCTCGCCGCCGCAGCCTCGATCCTCTGCTTCTCGTCCTGGGTTGCTTGCTGACGGCCCCGGCCTGGACGCCGAAAGTGGGTCGCCCAACGTCTGGGCCCATCCCTCCTCAGAATCCGACTCCGATCTGTCGCTGGGGCTTGTGACGGCCCGAATTTCGTGGCGGATGCAGCCGTGGCCACGAGGGCGCCACAGGCCCCTACAACAAAAAGACTCCAAGCATGGCTTGCACTTCGGGGCTCTTTCCGGTCTTTCAAGGAACTGGGCTGGTGTGTCGCCACATCTGGCTTGTTGTCGCCCCGTCGCCGACCCGTCGCCGCTCGGCGACGCCCGTCGCCGCCTCGTCGCCGCCCGTCGCCGCCTCGTCGACGCGCCAGAGAAAACCCATGCTCGCCAGTGCAGTCTCCATGCACCACATAGCATGCACCACATAGCTTACACCACAGATGTTGCGCCCCATAGCTTACACCGCATAGCTCAGATATCATAGTTCACACCACGTAGGTTGCACCACCTAGCGTACACCACCTAGCTCACACCATACATATATAAATATATATATATATGTATATGTGTATATGCATTCCGGTTAATAGCTTGCACCTCTTCAACAACACTACATGCGGTAGCTTCCACCACATAGGTCGCACCACATGGATTGAAGCACATAGGGTGCACTCCATAGCTCACACCCCATAGATCAGACCACATCTACAGCACCCGATACCTTACACCACATTGCTCACACAAGCTTGGTTTCACATAGTTTGCACCACATAGCTTGCACCAAATAGCTCGCACCACATGGACGGCACTGCATAGATCGCACCACTTGGTCTGCACTACGAGGATTACACCACATAGATCGCACCACATGGCTTGCACCACATATATTGCAGTACATAGCTCATACCCCATAGATCGCACCACACATATTGCACCACGTAGATTGCACCACGCCACACAACTTGCACCACATAGCTTACACCACATAGCTTACACCACATAGCTTGCACGACGTACGTTGCATCACCGAGTATGCTAGAAACCACTTTGGGTCCACGCTGGCTAAACATGAAAACCTCGTCTTCGAGACCTGGGAGATCTCGATCGCCCCTGAGATTCGATCCTGGATCCCCGATCCACCTGGCGCAGAGGGGAGGTCCTCGATGCAGGACCACCAGTCCTCGAACTCGAGGGCTGGCGGGTCTCGAGGCCGCGGCGACGCGCAATGCAGTGCACACGGACTGCGCGCCGCTCCGCCCCGCGGGGCGGGAGGCTGGAGGAAAGGCTCGGGGCATGGACGCTCGGGGGGCCGGGGCGTGGATGGCGTGTCGCTCCGAGGCGTGGGTGGGCCAGAACCCCGCGGCGCGTCACGCGGAACCTGAGCTCCCGGCCGTAGCCACTCGACACCTCGCCGTCCTCGGCGGAGGACCCTAACCGCCGGCCGCGCACCGAGCGCCGAGCGTACGACGAGATCATCCGCTGGATCTGCCTGCCCTGCAGGAGCAGGCCCAGGCCGAAGTTGTCGACCCCCGCGTTGTTGGACACCTCGGCCGGTGGGGCCCGTCGCCACCATCGATGTCGTCGCCCCTCGTCCTCATCCTCCTCCCCACCCCCCCCATCATCCGGCACCTCCCTCCTCCTCCCTCCTGCTCCTCCTGCACCTCCTCCTCCTCCTCCTCCTCCTCCTCCTCCTCCTCCTCCTCCTCCTCCTCCTCCTCTCCCTTCCACCTCCCCTCCTCCTCCCTCCTCCTCCTCCTCCTCCTCCTCCTCCTCCTCCTCCTCCCCTTCCTCCTCCTCCTCCTCCAACCTCCTCCTCTTTCTCCTCCCTCCTCCTCCTCCTCCTCCTCCTCCTCCACTTCCTCCTCGTCCCGCTCCTCCTCCTCTTCCTCCTCCTCCTCCTCCTCCTCCCTCCTCCCCCTTTTCCTTTTCCTTATAAACAACCCCTCCCTGTCGCACCCCGAAGCCGGTCGGAAGGGCGGGCCGGGCGGTTCGGCTGAGACATCCTGACCATGTATGCTCCTGAAGCTTACAGTCGGCAACGGATGGAGGGCGGGCCGTTCTCAAAATGTGGTTCTCGCCCTATCGCCGCGCACACTCGTCATACAAAAAGCAAAAGCATCACGGATTGAGGGCGGGCCGTTTTCAAAATGTGGCTCCCACCTTAGCGCCGCGCACGTTCGCCCCAAGAAATTGCAGGAGTATCAAGCGTTCCTATAGTTAACGCACCAGCGGTGGCGTTCTGAAGCGAATCGGGACTGTCAGGGCGCGAGAGCTACATTGATTCGCGGTGCTGAAGTTCCAGGAATGGCGTTCTGGCACGATTCGAGATCGTCAAGACGAAGAAGTCGCGTTTATCCGTGACGTTGAAGTTCCGAGCATGGCATTTTGGCACACTTCAGGATTTTCCAGCGGTTGTCTCCGAACGGGGCAGATCGCTGAGTGAAACTGAAACCTTGTATGGGGCCTATGAAGAGGGAGCTTGGGGGGAGGGCTAACTCAAGCATCGCTGATGCGTCTTGGAGTTGCACTGACCCTCCTCCTCCTCCTCCTCCTCCTCCTCCTCCTCTTCATCGTCCTTCTCCTCCTCCTCCTCCTCCTCCTCCTCCTCCTCCTCCTCCTCCTTATCATCCTCATCCTACGTCTCCTCCTCTATAAATTGCGGCGTCCCCCGCTCCAGCTCGCTACATTGGTCAGGCGAACTAGAGGGCGGGCGTGGAAGCTAAGCGAGCGGTGCTCATGCACCCCCAGCCTACCCAATCGGACTGGGATGCAGTCAAGAGCTCGATCGAAGAAATCGGAACGGTGGCGCGAATCGCGGCTGCGGTGCTCCCTCTGCATCTTCGTGTCACGCACACGGGCCACCCAGGAAGGAGAAGCGACGCAAAGTTTCAAACGTGCTGAAGGCTGGCGCACCTGGGAGCCCTGGCTGTGGGGCTACAGGTGCTCCATATGCCTGTTTTTTACGGACAAGAAATTGAGTCGCGGCCTGAACTGGGCTGCGACGGCGTTCCCGACGTGGTCCGCGAGCGTGTGGTCCAGGCGCCCGAGCATGGTAATGTTTTGGCAGGTGCCAAGGTTGAAAGCCAGGACACACCTTTGCTGTGTTGTACGAGCTGTGGATACTCTGCCCAGAGGAGGCTCCACATGCTGTCGATTCCTTGTTTTCGACCTCAGAAAGATGAGGATCGGAGCAACGCTGGCAACACGGCGCTGCGACGACTGAAAAGGGGCCTCCACCCGAAGCAGGACTCCTTACCCAACCCTCATTAACGTAATCCCCTCCTCGCCCCCATCCCTCATGAGCCTGGCAGGGAAAGGGGGGAGGACCAGGCCAGCGACGGCGGAGAAGAGATCCTCGCCACTTACTCCTTCCTTATCTTCCTCCCCCCCTGCCCCCCTTGCAGTGACCACCGCCATTATCATCACCATTATCATCATCATCATCATCATCATCATCATCATCAGCATCATCAGCATCATCATCATCAGCAGCAGCAGCAGCATCATCAGCATCATCAGCATCAGCATCATCATCGTCATCATCAGCATCATCAGCATCGTCATCATCAGCACCACCGCCATCACCAGCATCACCAGCAGCATCATCATTCACAGCATCATCAGCATCCGCATCAACAGCAGCATCATCATCATCAGCACCCTCATCATCATCATCAGCACCATCAGCAGCATCATAATCATCGCCACAATCAAGGCCATGTATCAGCACCGTCATCATCATCACCATCATCAGCAACGGCATCAGCACCATCAGTAGCATCACCGTTGTCAGCATCATCAGCAGCATTACCATCCTCACCATCAACATCCTCGTCGTAAGCATTAGCATGGCCATCATCACCACCATCAGCATCATCAACGACAGCAGCATTACCAACACCAGCATCACCATCAACATGATCACCCTCATCATCAGCAGCAACGTCATAATAATCATGACCAGTATCACCATCGTGGTCATCAGCAACAGCAACATCATCATCAACATCAGAAAACAAACATCATCATAAGCATCATCGTCGCCAGCGCCGTCATCACCATCATCAGCGTCAGCATCATCACCACCATCATTAAGAACTACAGAAGCACAATCAGAATCAGCACAATAATCACCAACATCATCACCATCATCGCCATCATCATCGCAATCATCATCATCAGCATCATCATCACCCGCATCATCGTCACCGACAGCAGCAACACATGCATGCGTGCATACATACATATTGATGAACGGACTGTCAACGCCGCAGACGGCGACCCAGATATGGGCGACATGCGTGCACGAGCACGGTGGCCCTTCGGAAAGGACCTGGAAAAACCAGCGCGGTGCAGCCACCACTTATCTCCATGAGAAGTTCACGCACTCATCTTCGTGCTTGTCCCAATGGGCGGTCGTGGATGCATAGGTCCATTGACCCCACGGTTTAACAATTGCGAACATGACCAATTCCTCTTCCCATCTGCGAAATCTGCCTGGCCGATGTTTCACCGGCCGCGAACGTGAATGTTTATCTTGGTGGCTCCACCATTCAGCGTCCCTCCACGTCGTGGCTTTTCTTGCCCATCTTTCGTTGTGCATGTTTGCGGGGCGGCCAGCCCATCTCCATTTTGCCCGCAAATTTACTTTCAACCAACAAGATACTCCTGCGCGCACTGTTTTTTGCTCCGATGCGTGGGTCCCTCCCTTCACCCATGTTTTATAATCTTCGTCTGGCCGTCTTCTGGGAGCAACCATGTTTCGTAGCATGGTTCTGTGCGTCGTGCGCAGCCGGCGTTTCTGCGATACTGTCACGTTCTGCGCTTCCGGACACTATGAAGCAGTCTTTGTGACTGTGGCATCGAAGAGACGGAGGCGCCGCACCTCAGAAGCATCATGCTTAAGCAATAGTGATTGCAGCGCGTGGAATTTACACCAAGCTGCTGCCAGTCTTGCTTCGAACTCGACGCCCACGTTCCCGTTCAGCGTCACCGTGGCCCCCAAGGCCTTAAAGCCTTCGTCGCAGTTAACAACAGGTATAGCTTGATCTTGCATCCGAATACCTTTGCCTCCACGTTGAAACTGCTCGAACACTGCGCGCTGCACTTGCCAACTTTCATATGGAGTCCAACTCCCTTCAGAGCGCCGCTTACTTCTTTCAGCATGATGTCGATTGCTCTTCTTGATTTGGCTAAAAGAGTTGTGTCGTCTGCAAACATCTCAGATAAGTCAAGCGCCCCTTCCCCTGCCGATTGCTGTCCCGAGGCCTCGTTTCTCCAATCTTTCTTTCAACTTCGCCAGGTGATTTTCAATGTGTACATGTATCCGACATGCATACAAACATGCATGACCACGTGCAAACATGCACAACGTGTAACCATACAGATATACATACAAACATACATATACATACATTCATGCATACACACATACATGCAATCATACGTACATACGTGCACACATACGTTCATACATACACACATTCATCATTCAATATGCACATACAGACATGCATGCATGCATGCATACATACATACATAGTTCATGTAAGTGCACCTATACATACACCCATACAGCTACACATACACATAACCATATATACATACAAACACGAATACATATATATATATATATATATATATATATATGCATGCATACAAACATACATACACTACATACATACATACATACATACATACATACATACATACATACATACATACATACATACATGCATGCATGCATACATGAGTTTATACATACATGTACATACGTACACGCACATACCTACATACATACGCACGCACCGACATACGAACATACATTCATGCATGCATGCATACACTCATGCATCGGTGCATGCATACGTGCATATATACACATGTAGTTGTACACACAGACATACACGCATACATACATACATACATACATACATACATACATACATACATACATAATACATACAAACGTACATATGTACATACATGTATGCGTGCACGCATGCATACATACATCTACATGCATTCATGCAAACACACACACACACACACTCATACATACATATATGCATGGTATACATGCATGAGTACATACATACATCAATACGTCCACCCGTCCATCTGTACATACATACACACACATACATCTACACGCAATGCCAATATACATCTCCCCCCGCCCCAAAACATCAAACGTCACACTGTTGCTCGTCACAAGCGCACCCAGACCTCTCGAACCCTTCCCGCGGTCGACGGGTCTGGTGCCCAGAACCGGCCCGTCCGCGAAAAAAACTCGAGCCTGATTTGTCCAGGAGCCAGAAGTCTGGATCGCCAGCTTCAGAATCCAACCCATCAAACCTCTCCAGAGGTGCGGTCTGGCCAGAATCTCGAAGCGGCTCCAGTCGCGACCAGGATGCGCCCAAGGAAGCCTACAAAGATCCCAAGACATCCAAAACATTCATCATCGATACTGAGCCCTCCCCTCGTCCAGCATCTTCTTGCTGCGCACAACCATGAAGACAAGGAAGCAGCAGTGTCCACGCATG